TGGCACACATCCAAAGCTTATTTTATAATATACATACATATGTATATATGTCTGACGACCTATGAAGATGAACTGCTCAAAATCACGAATGTAAAACTTCATGCAGCAATACTAGGCTGTTCTTTAGATTTCACAAAAAGAAAAATCACTTTAAGATGACAATCTGCCACCCCCAACCCCTGAACAGCTGTCTACATTTATATGTCAGAACCAACCTTAGAGACAAAGCTTACTATTCCTGGACACACTTCCTCAGGAGATCACTGTTTCTCTGAAGAACAATGAAGTAACTTTTGAGTGCCATCAACTGTTCAACATGAAACATTAAAGAGCAGTTTCATCCTGGGCTGGAGAGAGAGCGCAGCAGTTAAGAACACTGACTGCTCTTGCAGAGGACCTGGGTTTGATTCCCAGCACCCACATAGCAGCTATGAACCGTCCTTAATAACTCCAGTTCCAGGGGAATCCAAAGCCCTTTTCTGACCTCCGCGGCACTGCACGACACGGGTGCACTCACGTACATGCAGGCAATACACTCATACACATAAAATAGAAATAATAAAATATTTTTTTAAAGGAGCACTTTTGTCCTAAGACACTGAACTCAAAATCCCTGCCTATCTACTTCCACAAATTCCATATTGTTATATGATGACAGTTACCCAATCCTAATCAAGTCCCCATATTGAAAGGCATACCTCAATCCACCCTCCCAGTTCTCAGTCCAATCACACCTTGCTTTCCTACTGTAGGAGACCACAAAAGAGTCTTTCTTCTCAGCTATTATTCCTGACATACATTGTTCTAAGGAGCAAATAAAAAAGATGAGAAGGCCTCTGTGAACTCTATGTCACTCTACAGGCCTCAATTATGATTTACTACTGTTAAGAACTATGTGAATGTGGTATGTAATAAATTTGTGGCCAACTTCACTGAGTTTGATAATTCTATTAGTTACTTCCTAGTCAATTTATGTCCTGCTTCCTAAAACTGATGCTAACGATGTGTTCCAGCTTAAACTAAGTTATTTCTAAGATCTCTTGGAGCTCATTGGTTCTTAGTCCCTGTTTTACTGAGAAAATTGAGGGCCCAAATAAAACAGTTTGATCTTCTATTGTTTTTTTTTTTTAATGATTCTGTATACACCTTCTATTTCTGCTCTTTTTGTCTCAAGGAAGAGGCACACAGCCTTCTTTCCTTTCCTTGCATGTACATGTATTAACCCCCACACTCTGCACTTAGTCCTGCCCAGCCCTGGAGGCCTACCTCATCAGCACCTTCTCACCCACATGACTTCTTTATAGGATCATGTCTCCCATCCACTGAAAGAGAACATCTCCCCCAGTCCTCCTGTCTTGACAGCTGTCTCCCCTTTCACCGCCACTTCCTAACAGCAGCTACCAAGAATGTTCCTCTCACTTTCCTCAACATGAAGCCTGGTGTCTACTTAAGCTCTGTGTTGTGTCTCAGCTTTTATTCTAAAATGCTGCTGATGACAGCCACCAAGAAACCCTCCCTCCTGCAGCACCCAGGACCTGCCTTATTGCAGCTACTCCTTGCATCAACAGATCTCTACTAACACAGACAGTACTCAGGGCTGTCTTCAGCCCTCTCCCCATCTCTATTCTAATTTAAAAGATCAGGATTCTCTGGCCTGATGTTTCATTTCTGCTTCCATCACCACCTTGAACCAGCTCTCATTTTGGCTCCATGTTATATGATATGACATGCACATGTAAACCTAAGAATGACATACCCTGCTCAACCTAACTCTACCAAGCTCACTCCTACCCTGAAAAAGTGTTCAATGATGTGTTCTCTTTCTCTTATCTTTCAAAATTTGTGTCCTTGGGTTGGAAAAATGGCTCAGTGGTTAATAGCACTGGTTGCTCTTGAAGAGGACCTGGATTCAATTCTCAGCACCCACATGGTGGATAACAACTGTCAGTAACTGCACTTCTAGGGGATGCAACTCCCTCTTCTGACCTCCACGGGCACTGCACCATACAGGGGCACTTACATACATGTAGGCAATACACTCATACACATAAGATTAAAAAACAAATTTAAAAAAACATTGTGTCCTCTATTATTCTTATGCTAGTTAAGGCCCCACCATCATCACTTGAAAGATACACCCTTTCTCCCAACTGCAGTGCACCCTGGCTACTAGACTTTCTACAAGCCCCCACTGATTCACATGAATAGCATACATAAGACCCTCCTTGTTTCTCTTTGACAGGTTGTCCCCACTTCCAGTCCTTCCCAGACCACCCATTTAGCTACAGGCTAATGTCTCCACAAAACTATCCAGTGGCAATACCTAGGGAGATGCTACAGCAAAGGAAAAAAAAAAAAGAAAGAAAACAAAACCCCGTCCAATAGCTTCCCAAGTCCACACGATAAAGCCAAACATGAAAGGCTACAAGGCTCAAGCTTTCAACCCTACCTCTGGGATTTTTAAACTAATTTCTGTGTTCTGTCACTAGAGAGCTGGCTCAGGAAGCAGTTCTGCATGCCTTAGCCTAGAACACCCTGCCCTAACCCCTGTGCACCTGGCTGAATCCCTAGCCATCTTTAATTCCGTTTGGGCCTAACATCCTCCTAAAAGCTTCTCTTGTTGTCTCCAAGGCCCTCCACACTAACAAGGCCTGTACAGATGTCTAATAAATCTAACTCATATATGGCTCAGGGGTGGGTGGGTTCTTGAGGGGGTGGTCCTTGTCTTTCAAGTCCTACTCTAGCATTTACACCCCTGGAACATTCCCTCTGTCCCCCTCTCCCCCAGGTAAGAAGGTTTTTTTGTTTGTTTTTTTTAACTTGCCAGTTCTCTGGAGCACAGAGCCTTCTCTCAGCATAAGTCTTCAGATCCTCAACAATGGAAATGTCACTTTAATAATACCATTATAAAGGCTACAAATGGCAAGGCACAGCAGTGCACTCTAACAGTGCCACAGAAAACACCTCCACTTCTTTCACTAATTTCCCAAGGCTTTTCCTTTACTGGTTCTTGAACAGAAACAGCACTTAAAGAGTTTCAACGGACCAAATATTAACCAGCCTCCAATGTGCAACCTGACTTAAAAATAGCCCTTGACCTGGAAATACAGGTATATTCAAATACACACCCTGATAAGAAAGGACACCAGAGGGGATAGAGTTCAACGTCTTGGTGCTTGGCAAATTAAGATTTCCTTGTGACAAACTCTAAAAGTACAGCAGTGCTTTAGCTCGTTTCAAATATGCTGGCCCTTGTCTAAGAAAGTCTAACAGGTTACGGATTTCTGGTAATCTCAGAAAACCAAATTCAACAAGGTATGTCTCAATAAAAGCTAGCAGTGCAGTATTCATAAACAAGGGGTGCAGAAAGCCAGTCACAAAGTGAGATGATGATTCAAATGAGTCACAGCACACCGCAAGTAGTTTCTGTTTTAAACACATTATGGTGCTTTTAAAAACTCAAAAGCATTTTATGCGTGGTTTCCGGTTTCCAGAACATGTTTCATATTAATAAAAGCTTGTTAGCTTCCTCCAGTTAAGGAAGTCAACATGGGGAGGCTGGTATTTCCTTGATTCTAAAGGATGTCAGTGCTAAAACAAAATCTCAACCTAATGAATTCTATTTTGGGTCTGTTTCCAAGGCAGTTTTCACAAAGGCTATTCTCAGTCCACTAGTTTTCAAAGCTTCCATAGCTGAAAAACCTATTTTGTGTAATTCCTTGTCACATACATTCCCTAGACTTTCATTTTGTTCTTCTTCCTATCAAGGGTAAGAAAGACTCTGTCAACTCATTGAATCTAAAGCTTCACTCCTAAAATCACTGTGTTTATTGTTCCCATGACATCCCAGCAGAGCTCCATAACTCAAGTCCCATCAAGTTGAACACCACCGAATTTCAGGAGGAACCTTCCCCAAATCAAGCGGCCAGGGAATGTCAGCAACGGTAAAAACCAAAAGAAAGTCAAGAAAGTCAGGTTCTAGTTCCAAAACGAAGTGAACTTGACTTTGGGACATGAACTTCACTTGTGTCCTTTTGGTTTTAGAGACTGAGTTCCTGTAGACCAGGCTGACCTTGAGCTTGTACACAGCCAAGAAGGACCTTCAAAGTCCTGATCTTCCGCCTCCACCACCCCAAAGGCTAGAATGACAGGCAGGCACCACCACGCCCACCCTCGATTCTGAAATTCAAACTGCAATACAGGTACCAGCCTGTATTACTCTTAAAAATAGTTGCAAAGTTTTGAGTTTCTCAAAAATGGAATTTTGTAAACACAGGTTTTTTAAATAATTCTGTTCTCTGCCCCAAATTCTTAATCTATTCAGCACAAAAGTTCTTAAACCAATCTATTAGCAAACACCCAAACTACTAACTTTTTCTAGCTTTAAATAGAATGGTGGTACTACATCTGCTTGTTTTTAAATGTGAAGTGAAGGTTAATCTATAAAAAAATAAAATAAAAAGGGAGTGGAATTTGGGGCATTAAACTGTTGAGTTAAATAAAATCTTTTGGTAGAACTGCCCTGTCTGCCGTGGACTCGGTGGGAGCTGAAAAAATCTCAACTCTACCACGTGTGTGACAGTCTCAAACCTCCAAAACCTAAGCGCCTAGAAAACCAACAGAGAAACGAAAGTGCCCAAGAAGCCTTGTCTGTGTCAGGATCCAATGATATGCCAGGACACAAGGTGCCTGTCTCAAGTTTACTCCCAACTTTGCCGCTCCACCTACAAAAAGCGTGAGGTGGCTGCCACTAGCCAGCCGCAGCTCCCGTGGTGACAGGTTCCATACGGATTCCAGAGCCGGGGCTGGAAAGGGAAGGAGCTCAAGTGGCGGCCGGTTCCAGTGCACACCCACGCCCGCCCGCACCCGCGGGGCGTCGGGCTCTCCACCCCACCCACCGGAGACCCAGGCGGGCGGGCGGCAGCGAAGAGACCGGCCGGTTCCCCGGCTCTGCGGACTCCCACGGGGGTAACCCGCCCCGGCGCCCGCGCTCCACTCACTTTGTCGCTGGTACTCTCGGTTTCGTGGTCGCCGCCGGCCGCCTCTCCCTCGCGGGGTGGCGGCGTCACCGCTCCCCCGGGGCCAGCTCCCCGGTGCCGCAGCTCCAGCATGTCCAGCTCCCGCGTCATCTAGCACCCAGAAAACCCAGCCGCGCTCGGGTCCCGATCGCCCCGCCAGCCCCTCCCCGAAGTCCCGCCGAGCCGCCTCTACCGCCCCGCCGCCGCGGAGCCGCGCCGCGTCACCTCCAGAACCGCATCAACAAGCGAGCGCTCGAGGCCGCGGCAGGCTGCGGGGTCGGCTCAGGCGGGCGGCGGGCGGGGACGCGGCGCCGTTGCCAGGTGCCGGTCCGCCACAGGCCTAGGTGGGCGGAGGAGGGCGGCGTGCGAGAGGAGCTGCCGG